TTCAAATAAAAATTATTTGATTTAAGTAAATATTTCTTTAATTCAAATATTTATTTGATAATAGTCAAGTAATTGTGTATTTGAATAAAATAATTTTTTTTAATCAATTAAATTTCATTTAATCAGTGATGATTTTGAAATCATCACTGATGATTAAAAAATAATAAATTAAATTTTCTTTCTAAATAATAATTTAAATACTAGATGAAATTTTGAAATGGATGAGATATTTTAAACCACATAAACCAATCAGAGTTGGAATTCATCATCAATGTAGAAACTTACGTTTCTCAAGAGGTTGTTACAAGAGTAAATTCTATAATTTACTTTGACCTAACGAAGCAAGGTGAGAAGTTGGATTGGACTTACGATCCAAGTTTAGAAAAAGAAAAAAAGAAAAAAAAACAGAAAAAGTTAACAAAAGAATAACTTTTAATGGCAAATGGAAAATTGAAAATGTAGAATATAATATTATAAATATATACTATTTTACCTATACTATTTATTAAATATATAATTTTGCTGAACTATTTTACAATAGTTCCAAAAGTAGCAAAATTCTAAAAAAATTAAAAATTTATTTTAAATATTTCGAAAACTACACGGAAAAAACAAACTAACTATTTTAGCACCAAACTGCTTTATCCTTTAATAGTATATAATTTTGTTTACCTATTAAAGTATGAAATAATGCTTTTTTAGTTTAAAGCAAGTCTATACTAAATAAGTATAATGGTTATACTCTTATAGTAATAGTGACGTACTTTAAAAGCATAAAGTTGATGCCCGCGAAGTACGACATATAGTCTACCTAAAATAGCAAGAACTTCTTCCTTTTTGGTGTATAAATTCTTGCAACCTGCGTTTTGGCCACGCCTGCCTTCCCTTTCCATTCATCGATAGAATGCGCGCGAGAAGTCGAAACCTGTGAGTGTGTGCGTGTATTGTGATTTACGTCAGACCACATGTTTTGCCGGTATTAATTGATTAAGATTTTTATATTATTTGGTAAGTATATAACAAATATATATTTTTAATCATCTCCATGACTATTTTCTACCTTATCTTACTTTTTTGGGGAATAACACCCAAATTTAATTCTACACAGTTTAAATATAGCAGCATAAAAACAAAACTTTTTATAGGTTAGGTTATTAATTTTGACATATTATAAAAATTATCAATAGTATGTCGATTATTAATAAAATAATATTAATTAAAATAATAATAATAATAATAAAGCAATATTAGTAATATTAGTACATTAGTAACAAATTTAATTCAGAGTTTTAATTCAATTTAATTCAAACATCAGCTATATTTCTCCTGAATTCGCAACTATCACAATTGTTAATTTAATTTGTCAATTGATTAGATGTTTTTTATATCTTAGTATATATGCTTTTATACAGGATTCATCACATTTTATAAAAAAATGGATGTCCTTAATGTAAAGGAAATATCTAATGACATAGAAATGTGTCAGTCTTCGTCAAGTTTTCGATCGCTTAATGGTTAGTAAAAGTTTTATTATTGTTTTCACAGTTATAGGACATGATTTTTGTTGTTCATAAAATTTTTTTAGACCTTAAATATAACAAAAATTTTAATTGTAATTTTTATACAGATATTACAAATGTCTATCAAGTGAGTACATCGGGAGATTTGGTGCCAGACGCAGATATGGAAATATCTGTTTCAAAAGAAGATATTTCCCAAAATTTATTAATAGATAATGAAACCAGCTATTTACTTTATCCAGAGGCAAGAAACTTTAATGAGAATGTTGTTCATCAAGAAGGTATGAGTATTAACCACGTAAAATAATTTATTTTGCAAATTATTTTCATCAAATTAGGACTATAAAAATAATTCCTTTTAAAATTTAGATTCACGACTAGGTAATTATATCTACCAAATTTTAATGGAAAATGGTGAAGGAGAATTTTTAATTAAAACGTACGACTTCGAAAAACAATCTAAGAATAAAAATGACATCTTGGAAAAGAAGAATACAACTTATTTCTCTATTCATAAGGTCGCAAGGATAATTTTATATCACGAAATTCGGCGCACTAAATCCTATACGTAAGTAAAATATAAAATTAAGACATAATATGGTTTTGTTGTTTTCTGCAAATTAATTTACAATTTATTTTTAATAAAGGATATTGTCAGACAGATTCGAAGCATTAGCTGAAAGTGCAAATTCACTTTTCCCTGATTATTTAAAAGAATCCTTTTACTCACGTGCCGGTAAGAACAGCAGTGCACATGGCGCTTTTCAAACATGTTATGCAAAAATTCGTGAAAAAGCTATTTCAATGAATTTTATACAGAAACTGAAAACTTCCAAACGAAAAATTGTAGATGAAGGTATACAATTTTTCTATTTTTATGCATTTAATTCTTTTATTATTAATGTAATTTTTCTTATAACTATATGTATATTTTTTACGTCATCAAGTAGGCATTAAATAATTTTTTTTTCAATATTAATAATATATATTTCAGATGAATCTTACTCACAAGAGTTAAATGAAATAAAAAAGGCTGTAACTATTATAGATGATGACTTTATAAAGGCATGGAATAATACTGAATTATTAAAAGAGAGGATTTATTGGTTTCATAAACTGAATTATCAGAAAATTTTTGAAGATTTTCCTTGTTTTTTACATCCGGTTGGATATACCCTGGTTAGTACTCATGAATTAAAATTTTTTAATTATTTAATTTAATGGGCCTTTTGCACATTTCACGTACGGGTTTTTTGTAAAATATGTGACAACTTTGATATGAACTTAAATCTTTATTTTATTTTAAAGGTACAAGCAGATTTCTGTGCATTCTTTAACAAACATGGAAATATTTTTAAGCAAAACTGGCCTTCGATTGCTGAGAAAATTATTAAATTTGCAAAGCAAAAAAAAGCTGATAAGGATGTTCGAGCAATTTTGAAAGATTATAATGACAAAACGAAAGGTTTGTAATATTATAAAAAAAAGAAATTGTACATTTTTATTTGTGACTACGATTAGTGGTTAGTGAAGCAAATATACTCAAAAAAAATATTCAAAAATTTTATATTCAAAATTTTAGTCTTTTAATAATTTTTGTTTAAGATAATTTTGTAAAATTTTATCAGTGGCAAAAGACACTATTCTTGGACAAAAATATACCAACAGTTAAAAAAGAGCAATTATTTTTAATTTCTTCTTTTTTAAAATTTTCATAAATGTTTGTGTTTTAGACAAAGTGGAAATGATATTAATTAAGCATATTAATCTCTATTTGTATTAAAAAGTAAAGAAAATTTTGAAAATTTAAGTTTAATCTCGCATGAAATGCCCTATGCATAAAATAAAGAATTTTCATATTAATTAAATTTTTTCAGAATGTGCTGATATTATTGCATTAGTGCTACTTCCATTGTTATTCAAAAAAATTACTAAACTAACAACGCGTTCAAAGTTAGGTAAGGCATGGAACCCTGAAAAAATTGAAGTATTAAATTCATTTATTTATCATTTAAAGGTAAGCTTTAGCAATATATTTTCTAAATATATTTTTTATAACACTTCCCTGTGTCCACTATAAGTTTTATAAATAATTATTATTTTGAAACAATGATTACAGGAGGCAAACAATACAACTAATTCCCTGAAAGAGATTTATACAATAATAGAACAATTGCACTCTGAGCACAAATTACTTGTAGCGCCTTTTATAGTCATTTGTGGCCCTACGCTTAATGAAATATCAGCAGCATATGTTGTTATGGATACTCATACGTATCAAACATCAAGCGCCTTGGATGCTGTAAATTTGTGCTTTCAGTGTGTAAAACTGTTTCAAAAATCATTTTCACATATATGTTGCCACGTATGGCAATTTATAGAACGAGAGGCTTATGAATTTCAAGTGACCAATTTATATGGAGCTGTCACTCACATTCTCAACAAATTAAACCAACTTTCATAAGAGAAATAATTTTTATATTATGTTTATATTATAATTTTGTTTTATACATACGTGATCTCAAAGATTGTGATGAACAGTGTTAAGTATATAAAATATTTTATATATGTTGTGACTGATTTATATATTACTAGATTTCTTAAACGTCGTTGAGTAGCGTTTATTATTTAAGTTCTTCGTTTCAAGTATGCATAATAGGCTAATGCATAATCTAACAGATGTTGCTTAATTATTTTATTTTTCAAGATATTTATTACATTATAAGTAAATTTTTATGTTATTCATGTTTAAAACAAACTACATTTTAGAACACTTTAAGGGATATGTAGAATGTGTTTTTTGTTCTTATGTTATGTTGTAAATACTGTATTACTAAGAACAATGTTTTTTGTACAAATATGTTAATTACCTAATTGGAGTTAATAGATATGATCATTGGGCTAAGATTATTCGTTTGGAGTATGAGATTTTAGAAAACTGAAATTGAAAATTATTTTGCTAAAATAATTTTTATTCTTTAAACCATTAATCTAATCCTGAACTATAAATCAAAAAGAATTAAAGGAATTAAATAAATTCTGCAACCAAAATAGTATCACTATAGGAGTATTTTCTGATTAATTTTTAAAAATTACACATTGAAGAAATAATGTTGGAAATTTAAAAAATGTATATTGAACAAACCATTTTAATACAAACAAGATAAAAGTAGGTCCTTTAAAGTCAAGTTAATTAAATATTTTTTCTCTAATAAATATTACAAAATACGTAATAACTTAAAAAAAAGTGTTTTAATAATTAAATAATTGCTAAGAGAGAATATTAGTTTTTATTAAAAATTATTTGCTGGTTTCTTCAGATTGATAAATTCATATTTAATATGCTACTCATTAAATATTTTATAGTCATAGAATTTCATGGAAAGTATTGAAAAAATGTATTCTTTTCAATTCGAAAATATATTTTGTTAATAAGAAATTTTATAATTCTATATGAAATTTCGATGATAAACGGTCAATTACATTTTCAGAAAACGCTTTAAAATTAATTATAGTAAATAAGTTTTGCTGTAATTATAACATTATGAGGTTCACATTTATAAGGAGATTAGTTTATGACAAACACATTTGAACAAAAAAATACTTATCACATTAAAAAGTTCTATTTACAAAAAATTAAGCTTCCTTTTAACATTTTCAAATGTCATATCTTGTCGCTACAAAAATATTTGTTCTTTTTTTAACTAACAGACAGGGTGAAGTTTTTGGTATCAGGTCAACATTTATTAATAGATTTGTAGGGTTCACATTATATTGTACGCAATAAGCATGATAGTGATGATCAAAGAATAATACTTCGAGTTCTTCTGCTTCAAAGTAAACGTTCTTGCAATAAAAAATTTTTTTAATTACTCCAAAACATGGACCATTTTCAGTTATTCTGCTTACAAAAACTGTTCCAGGAGAAAGACTAATTCCAAGTAATTCAATATTTTTTAACGTTGTCACAGATATTCCATCCCGTAAGTTGGGAATAAATTTTTTTAAGTAATTGTGTGCATCAGAGTTATCGATAGATCCAAGTTCGATGTCACTTTGTATAGGTAGTGAAAATGCTGTTGCATAACAGAGTTGCAACTGATGTTTAATTGCTATTGTCAATGGTAAATTTATATTTGACGTAGTAGACACTGCGATTTCTTTAAGTTGCTTATTTTTCCTTTCGTACTTCATTGCTGAATAATGAATAACTGGACCATTTAAAATCATTACTGTTACGTAATGCAGCAAAAAGTGCATTTTAGGCTTCAGTTTTCCATTTAGTTGAAAGTACAGCTTATTATGCTTTCTTATAAGTTCTTTGAGGTTTTGGATTTGCCCTTTATCTAATGAAGGAGAAGCTACAACACCAAAAATTTTTCTTAAACAGAGATACAATTTCCAATGTGGATTTTTATCGGGAACGATGTCACCAATCATTAGCCCTAAATACCTCACTAAGCATTGCATTTCAGCAGCAGATTGCTTAACTTTTAATTTCTGGGCCCCTTTTTTCCCCTGTGCATAAAATAAAGGCCTTGGTTTATTTGACGTCTCTAGTGTGCCATATGAAAAAGAATCAATTTTATTATTGATTGTAGCAAGAGTAATTTTTTCTGAAGAAATTATTTCATGTATTACTTTTGCAATTGTATATGATGCAACTCCTTCTAGAATGTCGTGCATAACGTCTACAGATATATTTTCACAAATGTGAAAATTTTTTATGTCGTTAAAAATACATTTTTCTTTTAAACCACTGTCTGCAAATTTTTCTTCAGCAACGACTTTTTCATAAGATTTTACATCTCTTAAAAGATGTTCATCCTCTTCTAACAATTTTTGGCATTGTTCTTTAGTTGCAGTACAAATTCTGCAAAACCGATTAGCTATAAAACTTTCAGAAAAGCCACAAATCTTATTTAATCCTAAATTATCCCCCAAAATTTGGATACATTGGAAGTAAATTTTTTTATCAGTTCCTTCAACATTTATTATAATACCTTCATCCGATAGAATATTGAGCTCTTCAATTAATTTTTGAAAAATTTTTTTATTTCCAAAGTTTTTTAAATCATCCGAGTGAAAAATTGTGGATAAAAAAATATTTTTCATTTTAGCAGAAATATGAGGAGGTAATGATGCAATGGAAATGTATACACCACCTAATTTCTGTTCTCCTGCGTGACTGCCCAATGGATTTCGGGTTTCGAAATCATCGAAATATAAGTACAATGGTATAATAATTTTATTTAAATCTTTGTATTTTTTATTCCACAATTCTCCTTGAACAACATTTGATATAAATTTTTTTTCCGCATAAAGCTCATTAATATATTGAAGAACCATATTAAACACACCCGGTGATGAAAAAAATGTTTCCAAAGTTTTTTTTAATGGAACATGCGCTGCGTAGATCGACTTTTTAGTAACATGTACATTTTGATCATCATCTGTCATATATACAGACTCTTGTCCGATTTCCAATAGTTGAGGGGGATTAAACGAGTATTTTTCTTCATAGATTTTAAATCTTAAATATTCCGTAGAAAATGGTTTAAAAATATCTTTCGAATTTTCTAAAACAAATTGTGTTTTAAAATATGCCATGCCGCTTGAAATTGATTTTACACAATTTTCAATTTCTTTTTGAATAAATGGAACAAACGTTTCTGAGACAAATGTTTGAAACATTTCTACAATTTCATTAACAGTTTTCCGAGAAATTTGTGGGTTACTGTACAAACGAAGCGTCATTTTTAATATTTCCCTGTTAATATCATTTTTATTGATGTCCTTAATACTTTTATTTAAATCCATAATGGTGCTCTTACATATATTTTAATCGCAATTTTTAATCTGAAAAGATATAAACTTTTAAATTTGGAAATGCATATTTAATATTAACAGTGAATGCAGATACGAACCGTTTTATCAATTGTTCTTCTTTTTTTGGTAATGATATGCGACCAAAAATATTGAATGTACCTAAAAAAAATTAAAGCCGATATTTATGTGGTCTGATGTGGGAAAGAAGATTTTTGAAACTTAATTTAAATAGAATAAATTTACTATTTCTTATATATCAATAAAAAGATAAAAATATTTTATTTTAAAAACATATAATAAAAAGTAATAAATTTCAAATGCTTAAATTACATGTTCGCAAAATTATGACAAATTATAATAGGGTCAAACCACTGAAAATCATCTGAGAGTGGTTGCTCGCTTATTCTTAAAGTATTCAGTTTTAATATTATGTGGAACTAGATGAATTTCTGAGTTTATTGTTCATAATATTATCGTGTAAATTTTATTTCTTTTGAAATTATTATTCAACATCAAAAAATGATGGAATTATTATTTACTTTATTTTAAGACATTAATTAGAATTTGAAAGTTTATTGAGTAAAAAAATTTCACAATTTTTCAAAGCTTATAACTTTATTCTCGTTGTTTCAAAAAATTTGGGGCTTCGCACATATTTTAATATTGATATGGATAAGAAAATTTGGTTAGGCTATTTTACTTCATTTCGGAAATAATAAATTTGAAAAATTTTTACTTAAAAACGTTAATTCTATGAGTTTAAAGTATAACATCTCTTTCTATTCTCATAAAAAAAGAGAGAAATGTAATATTTTTTGTCAACTTCAAGTCCTAGAATTAACTCTTTTAATTGACAAACAAAATTTATTAATTTCGAAACGAAGCAAAATACCCTCACCAAATTTTCATAGCAGGTAAATTATATCAATATTAAAGTATGTGAGAAGCACTAAATTTTTTTTTAAATTAATAATAACTTCAAAGGAAATAAAATTTACACGATAATATTATGACAAATAGACTTAGAAATTTATCTAGTTTCATATAATATTAAAACTACATTTAAAAAAAAGCCAGCAACCACTCTCAGATGATTTTCAGTGGTTAGACCCAATAATGATGAGATTGAAATATGAATATAAAGTATAAAGTAATTTAAAGGTTATGTCTTTTGAGAAACATAAATGGTAAAACTTACTTATTTGTTAAAAATAATGAAAATATAAGTATTAGATTTTTTTTTATTATTTATTACACCAGTTTTAGACATTAACTATTTTGAAAAATTTAATTTGCAAATTTCATTAATTACGTCCAATCACATTTTAAAATTGAATTTACAAATTGCGAGAATTAAAAATTTAAGAAGAAACATTAAAGTATGAAATACTTTAAATGCAAATTATTATTATTTTAATTAATATTATTTTATTAATAATCGACATACTATTGATAATTTTTATAATATGTCAAAATTAATAACCTAACCTATAAAAAGTTTTGTTTTTATGCTGCTATATTTAAACTGTGTAGAATTAAATTTGGGTGTTATTCCCCAAAAAAGTAAGATAAGGTAGAAAATAGTCATGGAGATGATTAAAAATATATATTTGTTATATACTTACCAAATAATATAAAAATCTTAATCAATTAATACCGGCAAAACATGTGGTCTGACGTAAATCACAATACACGCACACACTCACAGGTTTCGACTTCTCGCGCGCATTCTATCGATGAATGGAAAGGGAAGGCAGGCGTGGCCAAAACGCAGGTTGCAAGAATTTATACACCAAAAAGGAAGAAGTTCTTGCTATTTTAGGTAGACTATATGTCGTACTTCGCGGGCATCAACTTTATGCTTTTAAAGTACGTCACTATTACTATAAGAGTATAACCATTATACTTATTTAGTATAGACTTGCTTTAAACTAAAAAAGCATTATTTCATACTTTAATAGGTAAACAAAATTATATACTATTAAAGGATAAAGCAGTTTGGTGCTAAAATAGTTAGTTTGTTTTTTCCGTGTATTTTTTATACTCGTTTTTGTTAATAATTTTAATAATTCTTTAATAAAAATTGTTATTTTTAAGTAATTATTTAATTATTATTAAAGTATTAATATTAATTATTATTCAAGTAATTTTTTAATTCTATCATTGATTATAATCAATGATAGAAAATTAATTTCGTTAAATTTTGTAAATTATACATATCAATATTATAATCTTAAATTAAAAAAATTTACGAAAAAATTTTAAAAACTTACATTGAACTCTGGGTGTTTCAGCTATATCCGATTTCCTTTAGAAGTTGATCAGCAACAAACACTTTTCCTTAAAAAACCGGATGCACCTGCAAATTAAAAAAAAAATTATTGTATTTAAAAACACTCATATTTTTATCTATTTTATTAAAATTCTAAAACGTAGCAAAATCTGTTACCTACATCAAATTAAATTTTTATATTAGAAATTTATTAATTAAAAAAGAAAATTTAAGAAATAATAATAAAAATATTATAATAAAAATAGTAATAATAATTATAAAATAATAATAAAATTAATAATAAAAAAAATTATTATTATTATATATAGTTCTATTAAATTATATTATTTCATTCCAATATTATATTTTACAATAAAATATTTTTTAATTAACAGACATTCTTATAATTCAAAAAAAAAATCAGAAATCAGCGAAATGAATTTTACATATATTTATTTTCAATTCGTTTTTGCTTTTAAGAGTGGAACTGTAATATTGATTTCGTCTCAATTGTCAGCGATTTTAACGTATCAGATTGAAAACCAAAGGGTGGGTGTGAGAATTATATACAGAATTTTAATCAAACCTCTCCAATAATTTTGAAAATATTTTTTAAACTTAAAAAAAATGATAGAATCGAAATTATACAAATCATTTGTTCAAAAGTAATATAGGCCAAAGAAAAAAATTATTTAAAAAACAAATATTAAAAATTATTTTTAAAAAGTCATTTTTAAAAAAAAATTTCTTTAAAAAAAAAAATGGAACTCAAAAACTAAAAATGTGAGAAGAAAATTGAAATTAATTTTTCCTGTCGCAAATTATTTTCCTCATGAAAAAAAAATGGATTTTTTAATTTACATGAAATTCTCATGAATTTGTGATTTATTAAAAAAAAAAAAAATTGTGAAATTAACTTCGGAACGTTAACCGCACATACTATTATTTTATGAGAGATAATATTTTTTTTTTTTAGTTTTTTTTTTCGAGTACAGAATTTTCCACTTCGAGCGACTTTTGCACGTCCGTCGCGTCATTTCAAGATCAACACCGAGGAGTGAAATTTAATGCTTCCTAATTGCATTTGACCCTTTTAAAAAAAGAAAAAAAAAATGATTATATATACGCGATACGTCGTTGGCTTCGTGGCGTTAGACCATTAACCTTCATTCGCCACTGACATATAGAAGTACTTCCCTTAACTTTATGAGAATCTCTTGAAAACGTGATTTTCTTCGACACGGAAAAACGAGAGGGGACTACTACTACTACCTCTTTTACGTATTATTCATTTTTCTTAAACTTCCGCTTTATCGAGAAACGACTTAACTCTATATGGAAGATCGTTTGAGAAAATGAGATTTTCTTAATTCAGACTTTAGAGTCACTAGTGGACTCAAACTTTTTTCCCAACTCAATTTTGTATATTATAGTCCATTTTTATAAAAAAAAAATTTCAAAATATGAATATCTTAAAAAAAAAAAACTGCCACTAAATTTCAAACAACTTATTTATTCTCAAACGTAAATGAATTTATATATAGAAATTTTATAGAAAGAGTTTTTATTTTCAATTTAATACGGTAAATAAATTTATAAACGAAATTATAAAATTATTTCTCAAAGAAAAATTATTCTCAAACGAAAGATAATTATTTCAATTATTTATATATATATAGACATTAAAAAATTCAACAGAAAGAATTTTTATTTCCAATTTATCGCGGTTGAAAGAATTTTGTGAAAAGAAAAAAAAAGAAAATTATTTCTAGAAAAAAAAATGTAAATTATTTTTTGACCGCGATATTTTTTTAATTTATAAAAATAAATAATTTATTATATAATTATTTATTGTTTTAATTTAATTTATTATTTTGGGATTTTACAGGTAAATTTATATACATATAAAACTTTTGGAAAAAAAATGTAATTAAAAATTTTTAGGACCAAATGAAATATGTGGAGATTGTTTTTTAATCGAAAAATTTATTCTCCTCGGCGCATGAAAAAGGAAGTAAACTCAATGGGGCAGTTGAAGAGAGTCGTAAAATTTTGTGGACTGTAAACTATTGCCTACAAAACGCTGATCGAAAAGTAAAAAAAAAAAAAAAAAATACCACGTGTCAGAGATTTAGCGGATTGAGCAGGTTTTTCACTTCCTTTCAAATCGTGATAGGAAATGAAAGCCTTTTTTTGTGGCTTTGTTTAATAGTTTTCAGCATTAACAACTCAAGTTATCTTCAATTTCTAAAATTGTTCTGTAGGTATTTGAAAACTCACTTTTAAAATGGAAAAAAGGAAAAAAATTTCAAATTAAAAAAAATTGTATTCGAAATTTCTATATAATTTAAAAAAAGATATTTTTATTATTTTTTAAAAATTATTTTTAAAAAAACTACGTTTTTCAAAATTCACACTTTGATAATTTTATATGTGCAAAAAGATAATAAAAGGTGACAACGAAAGTTTTCTATTATTTTCTCACAAGAAATATAATTTTCTTTCATATAAACTAACTTTCAAAGTTTCTTTTATTGGTTTCCTGTTTATTTTAGTCTGCGCTCCATTTTCACAGTACTATTTTTCTTTTCTGCCATTCGCGATTTTTGTTAAGTGCGCGTTCTGACCTGTACATTTCTATAATATACAAAATCGGATACAGTGAAAAAAAAAAATTTTTTTATTTGATTCAAATACTTGATTACTTTGAATCAAATAAATTTTTATTTAGTGTATAAAATAATTAGGGTTATTTCACCTTACCGACTGATGGTAAAAAAAAACTTGAAAAATAAAAATATAAAAAATTACCGACACAGAAATCTACCTTATCGACTGATGGTAAAAAAACTTGAAAAATAAAAATATAAAAAAATTACCGACACAGAAATCTACCTTATCGACTGATGGTAAAAAATCCTAGAATCCGCTTTAAATTTTTTACCATCCGTCGGTAAAGTAGATTTCTGTGTCGGTAATTTTTTTATATTTTTATTTTTCAAGTTTTTTTCACCATCTTGTTAATTTTTTTTTAAACCATTTTTGTATATGAAATATTTGTTATTCTTTGTGGATTTGAAACAGAAATAGAAATGAGATTCTTATTTATAATTAAAAACGTAATGAACGATAAGAAATTCATCAGAAATTCAAATAACTTGGAGAGAGAGAGAGAAATTAAGATTTATTTGTGAAAATAGAAATTCTAGCGCTCTTTTCTGATCAATTTCTTCTAATATCAGAAAATAAAGGCAAACTCGACAGGAAATTGAATTGATGTCAATCGAGCAAACCCATGCAAACGGAATATAAAACATTATTCAACCAAGTTTGGGTGAATCTTTCTATACTTTAACAATAAGGTCACATCTCTGTAATATACATACTTTAAAAAAAAAAAATTTAATATTTTATTGATTTAAATAATAATAATTATTTGTATTGATAATAAATTTTTGATAAAAGTCAAGTAAAAAAAATTATTTAAATCAAATAAATCTTTTATATAATTTCAATGCACTGAAAACAAAATTTATTTAATTTAAATACTTGATTATTTGACTATTAAAAATATTCAAGCGGTTCAATAAATGCCCTAAAAGTATTATAAAAAAATTTTGACATTTTTGAAAATTTTTTAATATCAATAAAATGTATATTTTAGGAATTATTTTTAACACAAAAACCAATGGGGAACCGTTAAAATAATTTCTGCGTAAATTTTTGTGTTTACTATTCTCTAGATTCTCATATATTCTTCCTGTATACGGAAACAAAATCCATGTCGTCAGTTTGTTTGGGTTTTTTTTTTTATTTCACATATATAAAGTGTCAAGTGCCCTTATATATTTTTTCTTTTATAAAAAAAAAAACCACCAGTTTCTTGTGTATAGTAAAAAGAAAATGCATCAGCACCGTCTACTTGTATTAGTTTTTTTTTTTTTTTTTTTTGACCTGGCTGTAATTTTACACGCTTTGGTATGCTCTTTGACAGAATTTCACACAAAGTATGGTATATAAGTATACGTATATATATATATAGACATATATTGAAGACGAAGTGCTTGAAGCTTAAAGCTTTTGAGTTATATAACCTAAAGGGCAAGTTTTACCCTTCTTTCAACAATAATGTGTCAATTTTCTTCAAAGAAAAATAAAAGAAAAAAAAAATTTCTCCCACAGGTGAGAGAAAAATATTGGAATTTTCTAAAAATCACTCACGAAGAATTTTTTTAAAACTGATATTAGTTTTTTTTATACTATATAGAAAAATATTATTTACCTAAAAAAAAAACGTATTAGTACTTTAATTAGTAGTATAAACCAATTTTAGTCAGACATGTATAGCGGAACAAAAATACAGTGGAGAAAATATAGTTTGTTGCGACTTTAGTAGTACAAGGGGATTATAGTCAGACGATCACTTTCAAGCGCAGTGAGATAA